GGCATCTTTGCTTAGACTGCTGCCCCCGCGACCCGGCCCCGGATAAGCGGAAGAAAATGGATGGATGGATGGAATTATTTTGTTCAGCGCCAGATCGAATATTTAATTCTTATCACAAGTTCCTATAGTTTTTCAGGTGGAGACTAAAAGGTGACGGCTCTAAAACAAGTTAAATGGTGAGATCTGTGGTGACAGTGCTACAGTGACGTCTGACAGAGAAAGAAATGATCAGTCAGGTTGTGAACAAGCCAACAGTGTCAGAGGCAGTAGCTCAAAAGGTAAGACACAAAGTGAGTGCACCTGAATTTTCTATAACAATCACTCAGTGATACCTCTTTCATTCACTGACTGCTCATGTTCCTTGTCCCTTTACACATCTGAGAAATGTCACCACAGCCACAGTCATCCATACAGTCATGTTATGCAGTGCTGATGAACACAGACACGGCTTTAACACAGCAGCCGCATCGTGCACCCTGCACACCTGGTGCTCTGTGTCATGTCCAGAGAGGTGGATGTTGGTCGGCCGCAGCCTAAACACAGGAGTAAGCCCTGGCCTGCTGTCACCTTCAAGTGCTGTTAGGTTCCCTGAAGGAGGGAGGAGGGGTGGGCAACATTCTTTTGAAGGTCTGCTCTCGTCTCTCTCTGGGCTTTTTCTATCTATCTTTTCCTTCACCCCTGCCCACCTTCATCACAACCCTGCTTCCTCTCTTTTAATAAAATAAAACCCAAACCTCTCCAGCCCCCCTCATCTGACACTCTTGCTCCTCTCACTTATGATGCTGAAGGTTTTTGGTGATGGGTGATCATTGGCTCCCACTGTGAGCGTGTGCGCATTCTTGTAACTGGCGGCAGTCAGATGGGCTCTGTCAGTGACAGCATATGGCATGTGTGAGTGGCATGAGGACTGTATGTAGTATAATGTGGTTGACAGTGTGTGTGTGTGTGTGAAAATCACAGCTTTGTGTCAACTCTCCTGCTGGGTGCAAGGTTTTACCCTCTTTTCTGAATAATAATTGTGTTGAATTCAGTATATTGTTCCTACACTCATGATGTTAAGAGAAAGTTCTGACTTAGGCTGGATAAGTCGACTTACAGAAAAGGAATGAACAAGAATTTCAGTAATTTATTTATTGCTTTAAAGCCATACTAATGAATTATATAATATTAGTTGCTGAATATACTTTCTAAGTAAATAAGTGCAGGGTTTAGCACCCCGCTGTGAGGTGTGTGCCACTAATAGCTGCCGCACAGCTGTGAGAAAACACTGTACCAAGCTTTGCACATTGTTCAACCCACTTTGTTCGCTGAATAAAAAAGAAGAGGTTAGTTAGTATGACTGAACAAACAGTGCAGCTCTTTTGAGAAGTGAAATCTTTATGGGGCACTGTAAAAACAGAACAGCAGAAGTTGTTTGTTTTATTGTGTTTGACGTGAATACGAAAGGTCTTCTGTTGTTCCTTTTCCAGGTGAGAGTGCGATGAGGAGAGTGTGAGGCCATGGGCTGCACCTCAGCCAAGCAGGTGTCGGCCGTGCCCAATGATGAGGAGGGACGCGGCAAGGCCTACAGCAACGGAGACCTCTTCACAGGTCAGTTTACACACAATAAAAGCTTCACAGCCTCAATATTAGTCAGTGTAGAGCGATTGCCCACTCAGCCCTCACAATCTATTCTCTTCATTACAGCTCATAGTCCTCTGGCAGAGTGTTAAGTTCTCCATTTCAGACAATAACTGTCAACACCACATTTTTATTGGAGTTATCTGTGTTGACAGCTCATGTATGAGAGAGGAAGTAACGAGTCATTGAGACTGTGGTGTTAAAATGTAAAAGTTTAGTCCTTGGAAGTGGAGAGAGAAACAAATAGGAATGGAAGTGCAAAGGTGAGAAGAGGTGAGACTTGAGAGATGAAGAATAAAAACAAGTAAGAAAAAAGTGAGTTGACAAGGCACCTGGTTGAGATTGTAAAGGATACCAGGAGTTCATTTTACTCACCATTGAGAGTACACTTCATTAATATCTCCTGTGGCTCTGGAGGATGTTTTTCTATAGTTTGAATAACTAACTACTGGGATTATCTTAAGATTGAGATGCACTTTTTAAATAGAATGTCTGCATTACAAACTGAAGGTATGAAGTTGGAAAGAAATGGTCATTTAGGAGGCAGGGAGAGTCTAATGAAAGCCTGTTTATTTGCATCATGGGAAATGAAGGATCTAGCATTTTTGGAGCTTGACCCATACCAGAAACTAAAAGTATCTAAAATTATCTTTAATTTTGCTGCATCGATTTGTCTCTTGTGAGTACTCCAGCATTATGGTGCAATACTAAATCACTGGTGTCCTTCTTTTAAAAGTTTCAAAGCTGATAACATTTTTAGTTGATGAATTGGTTAGTCCAGTGGTTTCCATTCTAAGGGACGAGGTGACCTAGAGGAATACAAGATCAATCCGAGAATGGCAACCAGTCAGATTTATCTAAGTTGCAAAAGAAGGCAAATAGACCTTTTACACATAAACTGGAATGAGAGAGCCCACGGGCAAAACCATTTCTGGTTTGCACTGGCCGACATGGTGACATGGTCAAAATGAATGTTTTTCATCTCCCCTGTTGACCTTGCCGAAATTCAGCATTGCTGATGTTGTGAGAATTGTAGAGACTCATTCTTTGGTTAAAGGAAATAAACTAAATAGGATATAAATTCTTCTACGAGAATGTACATCGGTGCACAACTAATCTGGTGAATAAGATATGCTATATAATGCTTATGCTAGCAAGCTTTAGTATTAGCTTAGCTGCTGTACATTCTAATGGTTTTCTATCTTGTCTTGCAATGTTTAAAGGATGTAGTCAGAGCTAGATGCTACAGGTTGGTAAAGTTGATCCATGAAAGCAGGTTTGGGACAACTGTTTTTGAGAAGACTGCTGCCTGCTTCACTGTAGTCCTCTGGACTGAGCAGTGCCGACTGCACATGTAGATGAGAAGCTTTATTTATTATCATCATAACATTGTGACACATACAACGAAATTATGTTTGGAGCTGAGGACACTGGGCCGCCGCGTGCATACACGCTGCCATCACAGGCAATGGGGGGTTCAGTGTCTTGCCCAAGGACACTTTGACATGTGGACTGCAGGCACTTGAGATTTGAACCTTCAACCTTCCAGTTGGGAGACGACTGCTCTACACGCTGCACCGCTGTCAACTCCCCCATGCTGCCTCTTTATACCTTAAAATTTGGTCCTTCATTGCACCTAATCCCTGCACCCATTTTCTTTTAAGTTGTGGGTCGTCTGGAACACAAGAACTCAGTTACAATACAAAAACCTAGGTTTTTAGATGTTGCCACTGTACTTTTACTCACCCTTGGGCCGGAAGTTGCCCGGCCTGTCCTCATCTACTTCCGGTTTACATTGCAGAAGTGTGAAAAAGGTCTATTTTTCTTTATCTATTTTTGTTCTCTAGTCTTTGCTTCTTTTTTTTTTTTTTAATTATCCTCTCTGTTCCAGATCACAAGCCACACCGGTTTGGAAACAGCTGGATCAGTCACTAGGCCATTTCTCCAGCAAAATTACTAAAGCTGCTGGGAGAAAGAAGAAATTTTAAAAAGGAATGTTTTACCTTGTCAGATTGTTGATTGGAAAAAATGATGAATTTGAAGACACATCTTTGAGCTCTGGGAAATTGCGTTGTAATTTTTCATTATTTCTTTGACATTTTATGTGGCTGTAGCTCAGGTGGTAAAGTAGGTCATCCATTAATCATAGGGTCTTGTTGGATCAAGACCCTATGATTAATGTCCTTGAGAAGACACTCAACCTTCAGTTATTCCTTGAACATCACTTTGGACAAAAATGCCTGCCAAACATGATATCATTTTATACAGTAGAAATGATTAACTGAAAATAAATGTCAAATTAATCAGTAATTAATATACTGTAATTGTTAGTTGCAGCCCTGACTTTAATTATACAGTAGAAAGCAGTGCAATGAGGGACATAAATGTAAGTGAAGAGAGAGATGATGGATGGTTGAGGGATTAACAGCGATTAAGAATTAGGAGCAGCACTCTGGTACAACAGCACACAGGCGGGTGGATGTCGCAGATGACCATCGACTGGAGGTTTGCGCTCTCTGTCTTTTCGTCAGACCCTTTTCCCTCCATCCCCTGCCTCTACTCTCTCTGATCTCTCAGCTCTCACGTCTTGCTTCCCTCCTTGTCTTTTAAGGAGCAACAGAACGAGGCAGGAGACTAGAAAGGGAGAGAGATAGGAGGAGTGTAGCATTTTCCTTGAGAGAGGAAGGGAGAATGACGTTTGTTGCTGCTTTTTCTTCCCTCTCTTCAACTTCTCTGTCTTCTTTAGAGTGCCTAGTCCCTTCCCCTGCCCGAGGCCTCGTTCTTGCCTTCCTCTTACTGTCTGTCTCTCTATTTTGGGTCTGTGTGCCCCCTCCCTCCCTCTTCCTGCCTTCATCTCCCAGTGTTTCTTCCCTCCAGCTCTCTTCCTCTCTTCTCTGGCATAACATTAGGTCCGACCCTTGTGTCCTTTCACCTCTCCTGCTCCTTCCTCCCTCTTCCTTCCATCCCAAACCACCAAGAAGCTGTCAGTTGGTTAAAGCAATCCAGAGACATGGTGGCCAAACCAGACTGTTGTTGAGCCTTTTTCTAAGTGTGTGTGTGTGTGTGTGTGTGTGTGTGTGGAGTTGGAAGACAGAAGTGACCTGGATAGTATGGATTAGAGTTATCCCAGGCCCAAACCCCAAATAACACCTCCTCTTATCTTCATCCACTCTTATCTTTCTTCCTTTCTGACTCCTCACTGCAGAGCTTCACTCATTGTCACATACCGTGTGGTCATTTTTTCCCACTTAAGTCACCAGCCTTTCAGACCTCAGTCGATCTGGCTCACTCCCTGCATCCGGTGTACTTCCCATGGCCGAGATGGAAAAGACTGGCCAGTTCTGGTCAGTTAGTCCCACTACACACATAAATGTACCCCCAGTAGACTGTGCGTCAGTGTGTGTATTTGTGGTTATGGATTTGTTTGCTTGTTGCATATCAGTGTATTAGTTAGAAAGGGAGCCCTCTCCTTGTTCACACTGATCCACCCCAACAGATTGTCAGTCAGCCTGCTCGTGTGTGTATTTGTGCACGTTAGAGTGTGTGTGTGTGTCAGATATTCTGTCTACCCTCTCCATCAGTCTCTGGCCACTAACCCTAACCCCCACCCCCAACCACCCCTCTCTCAGTTGCTCTCACACAATAACCGGAAAAGGCTGAGCTCCGTTACACAAACACTGAAGGACAACGAGGGAAAATAGCAACACTCTCCACAACATTGTGCCATTGATGTCTGCAATAAATCACAGTCAGAGGAGATTGTGAGTGAGATAGAGTATGTGGTACTGTATGTGTATATGATTGCGTATGTGGCACCCTAACATGTTTACACAACATGGTATCAGGCAGATTTCACTGAGCATTTTTGTTATTTTGTGGCGGTGGCGCTGCTGAGGGCCGGTTCTCCTCATCACTGACTGAATCTGATTGTACTATCCCTTTTCTGAAATTTGCTGTCTGTATGAAAAGATGAAAATGGTTTTAAGCAGAGCATGTGAGCGGAGCAGGAGTGGGGGGATTTTGGACAGAGTGCAGAACGTCCTTTGTTTAAAAAAGGAGGGAGCGTCACTCTACATATCCCGCTCCAATTTTGCTCCAGTATTGCCCAAGCCCGACCCAGAATGCATCTGTGTCTTGCACAATCATCCAACACTTTCCAGTCAACAGTTGGCCGTTGCAAGCTCAGTAATGGACTTCCTAAAGTACTTTAAAAGGAAACCAAAAGGTCATACAGGTGTCCTTTATATTTTTATTTAAATAGGCCCATTGATCTGTTGAATTTTACATATGGCTTTTTGTGTTATATTCCTTGTTACATAGGCCTAACTATAATTTGAAATAAATAATTTCTATTTGGAAAAAAGTAATTGTTGTTCTTTGGGATGTAAGGCTACGGTTTCAGCTAAAAATGAATACATGCAAATTTTTCCTGTTTAAAGTGAAGCAGGATGTAATCTAATGAGTGGAGTGGCCTAGTGCGGTTTTGAGTGGGGTGCAGAGCAGGAGAACAGCTCCACGGCCAAAGAGTGGAAATTCTCACCACTCCTCCCCACTCCACTCCGCTCATGTGCTCTGGTGTTAAGAGACAGCAGGTATGCTGTTTGCATTCCTGATTTTTATTTTATAGCAAGACCCATGTGAAAGAATCACTGGTATGTTTTACTGCCAGGGAGTAAAACAGGATTACTCAAAACTGGTTGTTTTATGAAATCCCTCAAAGAAACACTGGCTCTTCAGTCACACTGAGCTTTCTTTATCAGACTGCTAAATGGGCACTCAGTCCTTGGAAATATTATCACAAGAGACCACCTACATCCACAGATGAACTTACATTAGCACGTTTCAAAGAACCCTCTCTTGTTGTTTTTCAGGTAACAAAAAATATAAATGACAGACCAGGGTAACCACAAATAGTGGTTTAATACAGAGTGGGAAACCTCCTCTTTAGGATAGTGCACAGAACTGACGCT